GCGGACAGCGACAGGTTGCTGAAGCGCACCTCCATCTCCGGCAGGGGGCGGCCCATTGCCGCGTGGATCTTGGTGGCCATGAGTTCGTGCAGAGCCTGCGGGCCTTGGGCCATGAGGGTCTTGCCCGACTCGTAGCTGAGCTCGGGGCCCTCGACGGCGGACTGGTCAGCTGCGGCGGAGGAAGGGTTCATGGTCTTGACTGACCTCTGCAAGAGGCAGGAAATTCCAGAATGACTGGGAGACGCCAGCCTTGGTCCAAGGCCCTCGGTCTCCGAGTCGGAGGGGCATGTCGGGTGCGTGGCTCGCAGAGCGCAGTGCAGTTCGGCTGCATAGATAGCGGTACTTGTGCACGTTGAAGTGTTCCGCGCAGAGAGCGGGCTCGCCATAATCAGGACCCAAAAGAACGTTTGAATGGACCCTAATTTAGATGTTTATTTGATATTTGATATTTCCGAAAAGTTGGATAGTGAAAGTAAGGTTTTTCTGGCAGTGCCAGATGCTTACGCTCGGCTAGATTGGGCTGAGGCCCAAACGAAACACCATGTTGATGGCAGCGGTACACTGTATCAGCAACTAGAGGTGTCAGCGGATCAGTAGCGAAATCCAGTCGCGCGTCCCCATTGACGACCTGCATTCCTGCCGTGCCTTCCTGGCTCAACTTGGTTGGGAAATTTACCTCATTGTATCTCTCTGTAGGTGATAGGTCCAGGCTGCGCTTGGGGGCGGCACTTTTATCCAGCCTCTATGGGGTTGTGAGCTGCTATGAGCAAGAGATCTCTCGACTCGGCAAGTACGACAATTTGCTGAAGGTCCGATCGTCGCCGGGGGTGTTAAACCGCAGCGTGGGAGAAGTCTAGTATCCCAGTTTCGTATCCCAGTTTCCTTGGGAAGCGAAATCATCCAGCTGTCCACCCCCCTGTAGCTCATCAACGCTGTGCGACAGAGTGCTCGCGTGGTTGCACTACGGTACATGTAAAATAGATCTCTCGACCTCACCTTGAGTGATTCAAAGTCAGCAGTTGTGCGTGAATTGCTCCGGGAGCTTTGATGCAGCTGATCGCAGAATAGGTTGTGCAATCCTTTTTTGAAATGCTTTGACGACTGGACATGCTGGTAGTGACTAAGTGTACGCATACCAAGAATAGTCGTCACGGTGCCTGCGTGCACAACACAAGAAATTTAGAAAATGTAATAAAAGTAATGAAAATACTCTCCGGAAAGAATTATCGATAAAGCTCATTGAAAACGGAACAAAATTCGCATGACGTCTCGGCTGTAACCCCAGTGTTTCATGTCATAATTGATTTTAGTACTTGCGCCAATACAAAAACTAAGCTTATAACGAAAATCCCGTATATATTTATTGTCAATAATTGTGAAAATACTGTATTACTGGCTGACCCTGTATTGCAATGATTATTACTGTGACTCCAAGACCAAAATACAATTTGATATTTTATTTTCCGACCTCTGGAATGCAGGCATCGGGTCCATGATGTACTTCACACTCGCGATGAACATCGGGTCGTACGGACCTTCCACTGCGCTCACCAGCCAACCAATAATTATGTCTTAAACCTAACTAAAATATTTGATGGAGTGGCCGTCTCAGAAGCAAGCAACAAAAGCAAAGGGTCGAGCTCTTAATTTTCAAAAAAGCAGCTCAATTTTTTATTAGCAATATTTAGATAATAAATAACATATTAGTTTTTGACGCTATGCCAACTATTACTTCAACTAAAATAATTGTAAAAGTCCATGTTACGAATGATTTATAGTTTCATTCCTAATTGTTTTCATCAAAAAAAAGTTACACTACAACTAAAATGAATTATAATTTTAAAAATGTGGTTTTCTGTAAAAAACACGCTTACTTTTATTGTACAAACGCTTTAAAAAGACCTTTAGAGCACATAACACACACAACACACATAAACATTAAGCGGTTTTCACTTTCGCGAAAGTGAGAGCCAAAAGAGCGAAAGTTTTCGCTCCTTTCACATTTGAAAACACCTAATTATATTTTCCCTTTTTTCATTGTTCGGGATCTTTTTGCTTGCGTTGGAACTACCAAGATGGTAGCTAATTGTACTTGCTGATATTTCTTTAAAAAAATTTCAGTAAGTACTATGTATCGGGCACTCGCTTGTACTATCGCCTTCAGATCCGCATATGCGTTGATGGGAGGCTTGGCTGCTGGCGTTCCCGTGTGTATTATTGTAGGATAAGGAAGCTTTCTCCCAACTTGGCATTCCTTGCGCTTCTCTGTCATTGCATCTATCCAATCAGGACAAGTTCTTCAATGAATTTAGCCAATCACGATCGATTCGTGTGTATCCCAACATTTTCCCAATTATTTTGGGAATTTACAGTCTTGCTAGAATAATATCCAATACAAAAGTTTAGTATAATTGTTGCATTACTCATATTTGACCACAAATTCCCAATACAAATCATGATTGTATCGTTGGTGGCTGTGACTCGTCTGCTTTCTCTCCTCTCCCATTTGAAAAGATGCAGCGAGCGCCGAGAGGGCTTGACATCCCGCAAGGGACAGCAGGGCAGGAGGCAGCGGCGATGAAGTGCTTCAGCGAATTCTTAGCTCTTGCTAACATGAATGAGGAGTCAATTGCTAGTATTGCGAAGTCGCTGTCTATTCCTGATGCTCTACCAAGTCAAAACTTTTACTCTTTGCTAACCGCCTTCTCCATTTTCTTGCAAACTAAGCCAAGTGCTCGAGGAGGCCGTCTTGCTAAGGCTACTGCTGTGGGCTATATGTCCCAAGTTGTGAACCTGCTCCGAGAGCGGTACCCTCTGTACTTGTCAGACAGCAAGCGAATTGCGAAAATACGCGACAAAATGGGTTCAACTATTGAGGAGCGAAATTTGCTAGCTGGCGTGCAGACTGGTGAAGCTCCAGGCTGCACGCTCGGCGACTTGCGTGTTCTGGTGCAGGAAACTGCGATTAAGGGGGTTGGCTCAGGTTATAAGAGCTTACATGACGCTGCTGTACTAACGTTAATGTGGCACACGTTTGGTCGAGCGATCGATACCTGTTTTGCTAGGAAGAGCCAGCTATCTATGGCGGCATCGGGGGAGCTCTTTCTGCATCTAGCTCGAATCAAGACTTCGGTGGTTCAAGGCATCTCAATTTACAAGGCCGCGACTAGTGTATGCTGCACGGCCTCGGAATGCTGTTCGTCGGAGCGTCGGAGCCTTCCAGCTATGTGTTCCCGCTAGTGCCGCACGCGGCGGCATCGGATTTGCCAGGGGAGAAGACTTACAGCCAAGACGAAGCTATACTCTACTGGGAGAACCTTGAAGAGAAAGCTGAACCAAGGAACGAGCCACCAACAAAGCGCGTGAGAGGAAGGCCCAACGTGTCCAAGTATATTAACGACGTCATCACCATGGTCTGCGAGCGCCAAGCCCAGGCCTCTGCCCCGCTGCCCCCGACGCTCACCGCAGGGCTGAGCAGCCACTCCTTGCGTCGCGGCTCCGCAGCGTATGCAAACGCCTCACCGCAGCTTGCGATCCAGTGGATCTCGACCCGGGGAGCTTGGCTGCTAGACTCGCTCACGAAGGCGTTCGCGTACGTGGGTACCACGACACGCGAGGACCAGAGTGTCGGCAAAGTCCTCGCTGGATACCGAGACCCGCACCTGCCATGCGTCACGCCCACGATTGCCACCTTGAGCGAGCTTCTTCCTGCGCTCGAGTACGCCCAGCTGCTAACCCTGCGCGGCCAGCTCTTCAAGAACGTCAGCGGCTTCACGGACACCACGCTCAACGTTGACGCCTTAGTCCTGGATGCGGCGCTCGCGTCCCTGCTCATCCATCTTGACGACGTCGCGACGGCAGTCCAGCAGGAGCAGGCTGCCACAGGCTTCACATCGCATTACCTGTACCGCTTCCACGAAGCTCTGGACGCAACCAACGTAGCGCTGGGAGCTCGGCTCTCGCTGGACACGTGCATTGGTTGGGGTCGGCAGCTTCGCACGGCTTGGCAAACGGAGAACTTCGGACAGCTGGGTGAACGCAGCAATGGAAACACCACCATACTTGCCGCAGCCGTCACCCAGATGCTATCGTCCATCGCAGCAATGCAGCGCACACTTCAGAAGCTCGTCGCGGCCCACGAGAGCAAGGCCACCAGCGCTGACGGTCCTGCTCCTTGTCGCTGTGCTGGCCAGGCCCCGCAGGCGAGCACTGACACCGTCGTTGAAGCGCACTCTCTTGCTGGCTGCTTCTACAACTGGTACACACAAGAGCTGTGGCACACGGCAACCCAAAAGAAACAACAGTTTGTTCGCGCTGACCTCAAGGCAGGCGTCAACATCATGATCATAGCAGCAGGGCGAGAGGTAGACGTACCAACGGCGCCACTGGGCCGGGACGGCGTCGCGTATCGGCTGTGGAAGCAGCGTGTCTGGACGCTAGCGGAAGACTTGGACAAGAAGGTCAACGCTGCGCTTGGGAGTATCGACGGTAAAGGCCGATCCAAAACCGCGGGGTCGCTACGGAAGCGCTGGAGAAAGCTGCGCGCTGACCACCGCTCTGCGTACGACGCGCTCTGCTCAGCATTTATCACCCGCAAAGCGAACGGTGGCATCGTCGACCGCTGCACACCAGCTAGTCACCAATGGAAGCAAAAAGACTTGGAGTCGTAGGATCACGCAGCTTGTATTAACTCTTAATACATTCCTATTCATACAACATGGATAATCGAATTCAAGGCGCAAATGCACACGTCATCGCCATCCCACAACTTAAGCACAGCGCATGGATTCCCGTCAGTCCCGATACAAAGTCATACACAATAGAAAAACGCTCACATACCGTCAGCGAGCGCGCACGACCTCGTGCTTGGCCGACAGCTACCAAAACCGGCAGCACAACACCCGCCCTGCCGGGTTTTGTAGCTGCTTTCGACGGGTCCTTGCGTGGGGCGCGCCTGGGGGCACTCGGGTCTGGGGTGGTCGGCGGGGGAGGCGTGCGGCACGCTCGGAGCGCGCTGTCGTGTTGGAGACGCGGGGCGGAAAGTGTGAAGGCGGAGAAGGCTGCGCAGCCGGCCAAAAATAAAACCATAAGGTTTTTTCTTGGCTTTGGAGCCGATAAACCAGTCCATACTTTGTTGAAGTCATTTGGAATCTCACTTATGATTGGCTCTCCTCATTGGGAGCGGCGTTTGGGACCTGGTAGATTAATGAAGTAGTAGCAAACTCAAAGGTACTTTATGAAGCGAAAATGCACAACAACCGTGAACGATTCGTTGATATGGATTCGCTTGCAAAGCAAAATGCTCTTGCTGTTGCCTTTGGAAATACTGAACATCTCAAAAATGTATTATGAAATGAGTATTATGCACTATGCACAGAAGTGCTTCTCAGTTGTTGCTTACTTCTTCTGGTGGTTGATGTACCGCAGCGCCAGCGCGGCCCAAATGCGGAACAGCACGATGATGCCGACCGTGATGCCGAAGTTGCGAGCAATCTGGCTATGCTTCATGCCGAAATACTCCTCCGTGTACTCCTTGATGGTGATGTGGCCTACGGTCTCCGGAGCATTGGCCATGGGCTGGCAACCGAGCTGGGAACCCACGTTCTCGTACGCCTGCGTAGTCTCGTTCCAGGTCGGCAACTCGTCACAGTCAGCAAACACAAGCGTGATGAGGTTGGCGATGGGGAACTTGAAGGGGCAGATCTTGTACAGCCACGTGTAGCCTGAGGGAATCTTGTAGGCCGGGGGGCTGAAGCCGACGAACATCATGAAGATCGAGTTGAACAGAATGCCCGAGATCTGAGCGACTTCCTCACTTGGCGTCGCGTATACGAAGAACTGAGCCAGGTACACCATCATCAAGACCAGCAATGAAGAGTCCAGCCAAAACACCACAGCCGTCCAGAAGCCCGTAAAGCCCACGAACCAGTAGAAGATGGCGGTGAACAGCAGCGAACTGACGAAGCAGTACGGGATCTCCGCCAGCGTCGCAGCCACGAAGTACCAGAACGCATTATACGTTTGACTTGCGCGCTCACGGTAAAAAGATTCACGCTCGGCGCAGGTCAGAGGCATCACGCTCTGGAACACAGCCATCGAGTTAAACAGTGACGACATGAAGACCATGCCGACGCCCGAGTTAAGTCCCGTGTACGACGCGTAGTCGTCGTTGCCGACGAAGATCAAGCCGAAGAGCAGAGCCAAGAAGATGGCCAGGTACATGCGCGTGAGGTTGTAGGTTGGAGTCCGCCAGTACATCTGGAAGTATCGCCACACCACGAACTTCATCTGCGTCATCGAGTTTGCAGCACGCTTCTTCGCGAACACCATTTCGGGCAGGTCCGGGGACGGGGTAGTGATGCCTTCCTTCGCCATCGTCGTCTCCAGTTGCTGGTTGTACGGGCTGTTCTTGAAGTAGCTCACGAAGTCCATCGAGTCCTTGGATCCGTGGCCCACACCGGCGCCAATGCACTCCAGCATCCACGTCGCGGGGTTATATCCGACTGGAAGCGGGGCCACGCCGGGGATGTTCTCGAAGTAGTCGATCAAGTTGCGGCAGTCCTCACCCAAGTCACCGTAGAAAGCGGTCTGGCCACCGCGCTGCAGCAGCAACAGTCTGTCGAACAGGTAGAACACCTCAGCCGAGGGCTGGTGAATGGTACAGATAATCGTACGACCCGAGTCGGCCACCTTACGGACACCGTCCATGATGATCTTGGCCGAACGCGCGTCCAGGCCACTCGTCGGCTCGTCCAGGAAAATCACACTCGGCTGCGCGGCAAGCTCCACACCGATCGTCAAGCGCTTCATCTGCTCGACTGAGCTGCCACGAATGATCTGGTCCGCGATGTCCTCCAGTCCGAGCAATTCAATGCATTCATCAACGGAGTCGTACTTCTTGGCGTCCGAGATCGACGCGTCCTGACGCAGGAACGAGCTGAAAGTCAAGGCCTCACGAATCGTGGCCGCCTCCGAGTGGATGTCCATCTGCTCACAGTATCCGGTACTTCGACGGATGGCAAGGTCGGTCGCCTCGTAGCCGTTCAGTAGAATCTTGCCCGTGATCTTGCCTCCAGTCTTGCGGCCAGCGATGACGTCCATCAGCGTCGTCTTGCCAGCACCAGTTGAGCCCATCAGCGCGGTGATCGACCCGGGGATAGCAAACCCGTTGATGCCCTTGAGCAGCTCGAGTTGCTCCTTCGGGTTGTGCGGATCGGGTACGAAGTAGTGCAGATCTTGGAACGCCACCGTCACCGGGATGAAGTTCTTCTCGCGAGTTTCGACGGGGAGCTCGACAATGGTTTCGCTCTTGTTAGCAGCCTTCGGGGTCTCAGTGAGGACGTACGAACTCTCGTCCTCAATGGGCTTCACGGTCACATCAACGTTGTCGGGAGTTTCGTAGCGGACGTACTCCAGCGCCAAGTACGACAGGAACATGAAGAAGACGTAAATCGCCAGCAGGTAGATGATGCCGTATGCGACCCACTCTTTCTCCGTCGAGATATCAAACAGGTTCAAGTAGTACTCGCCCATATTGAGACCGTTGTACTTGGCGCAGTAGTCCACTCCGTCGTACACGCACACATCGTAATCGCTTGATCGGTACTCGTTGACAGCCAGGGCCTTGATAGCCCACGCCATTGGGCTGAGCCAATGGGCCCAGATGAGGTAGTCGGGAATTTGGCTCTTGGTCACAACGAAGCCCGCGAAGATGATGAACACGAGGATCGAGACCATGCCCACCGGCATCACCACGTTTGCATCGGGACACACACCAGCGAGGAAGAAGAACCACATGCCCATGGCCAGGTTCGACACGAACAACACAATCTCGAAGATGATGAACAGCTTCGCGTCAGACGCAAACCCGCAGACCCAGTACACGATCGAGCCGAAGACGATGGTCTCGGCCAGGGCCAACGGGATCTGGCTCACGGTGGTGGCTAGAACATAGGACCCCGTTCGGAAGAAGTTGGCGCGGCGTTGCTTGTAGAAGATGGCCCGACCCGAGATGTACACCGGGATCATCGCACCTTGGCCCATCGAGAGGAACATGACGGCAGCGAACATGATGCCCATCGACACCGAGATCTGCGTTGGATCGAACTGGTAGAAGATGGAGCAGTACAACAACGCCATCACGATGACCATCGCCAGCTTCCCCATGACGAAGGCTTGGTTCCTGTAAGTAATGAGCAGAGCTCTCCACTGAAGCGCCAACACACTGGCGAATACAGACTGGTGGAATGTGGGCATCGGTTCGATGATGTCCTTCACGCTTGCGACCAGCTCCGGATCGTAGGGTGCCTCCAAGATGCTCAACATTTCTTGGTACATCTGCGTCAGGCGGAAGCATTCCCCGAACTCACACGGGCTTCGGGGCTGCTTGGTCGGGTGCGGAACTTCGTAGCGGTGCTGCTGCTTCGTACCAAGGTCCAGCAGGTAGTCGGCGATATCACGACCAGGCGGACACTTGAACCCCAGCGTCTCAAAGTATGCCTCCACCTTGTCACATGGCCCGTGGTACATGAGCTCACCCTCGTTCAGGATCATCACATCGTCGAACAACGCGAACACCTCAGGAGAAGGCTGAAGCAACGCGATGACCACCGTCTTTTGCATGCGATGAGCAACGCTGCGCTGTGTGTCAACGATGTCGTACGCGGCAGCGGCATCCAGGCCGGTAGTGATCTCGTCCATGAGCGACACGTACTTCATGCCGAACTCCATTTCACCAGTCGTCACGCGCTTCTTCTCACCACCGGAGATGCCACGTAACATGTTGTCACCAACGATGGTATCCTGGCAGATCTGCAGACCCAGCTGTTGCAACACAACATCGGGGTAGTGTGCGAAGATCTTCTTGGTAGCTTCGAGCGCCTCCAGATCGCTGGTGTGCTGCGCACCCATGTCCAGCATGCCCTTGCCCTGCTCCAGCAGTTTTCCACCGCAGAAAGTATGGGCGAACTCGAGCGTCTCCTTGACGGTCAGCGTCGGGAAGTGCTTCTCGCGCTGCTCCACGTACGACACGAATTGAGGCAGCTTGTCAACGAGGTGGTCGTACGGCACATTGTTGTACGAGATATCTCCCTCCATGGTGATGTTCTTCGCCATGGGGAAGCGGCCACTGAGGACCTTCATCAGAGCCGACTTGCCCGACCCGGGCTGGCCCAGCAGCAGCGTGATCTTGCCCGGCGCGAAGCGGCCACTCACGTTCTTGAGGATCTCCTTGCGGACCGTCTTCTTCTTGGGGCCCATGAGCGTCTTCTTAAGCTCGTTCGGAATGGTCGGCAGCTCGTACTTGGTGGCGTGGTCGTCGGCCACGACGATGTCGGCGGACAGCGACAGGTTGCTGTAGCGCACCTCCACCCGAGGTAGCGGACGGCCCGTAGCGGCCGGGAGCTTGGTGACCATGAGGTCGTGAAACACCTGCGGGCCCTGGGCCATGAGGGTCTTGCCCGACTCGTAGCTGAGCTCGGGGCCGTCGGCCGTCGAGGTTGACGACGGCTCGGTCGTATTCATCGCGGTTTCCGTTCTTCCCGGTTGACTTGGGCGGAAGACAGGAAATTCAAGAATGGCCTGGACTAACTAACTCACTCGGTCGCGAAGCAGCTTTTCGATCGGGGTCCTCTTGGCGACAAAGACGGCGGTACCACTTGTTACATGTTGAAGTGACCTTGGATTTGTCCAAATCAAGAAAATACAGATACCCAAAAAGACTCGCTCGAGAGCCCGGCTTTAACCTGCATAGTCATTTCAAGTGATGATCGTTTTGTTGACTTCCACGCAGCCCAAAACTAGCTCGGCTGATGACGGCAGGCGCCAACTAGCGGAACGCTGAAAGCGGCGACAGCTCGCCGAGACAGCTCAGCGCTGCAAAGGCATGAAAGTGCAATGCACATTGGCGAGCGATAGATTACGGCGCCAGCAGCGCTACTATGTGTTGAAGCGGTGGCCAGGGATCCAGGAGGTCAGGTTAATGTTTCTCCAGTGCAGGAGGTTGATGTAGCATTTCATGAACTTGTTTTACCATCGTCTCGATCGTCCAGCCGTGCGAAACCCACAAAACACACAGAGACGAAAAAAACATGAGTGTCTAATAAGTTCTGGTTGGTTTGAGGCCAAGTAGATACCATCGAGCCTCGATGGCCTGGCAACCGAGGTTTGATTCACTGCTTGCAAGGTCTCATCGCTCACCGGGCAACTGACCCATAAGTGTGTTCGTTGGAGACTTCTGGGTCGAAATCGTGTTGAACCAGTGAGAGTTGCAGTCCACGAGCACCATCACAACCGAGTAAAATGTCACGACAACGTCCCCCCCTCCCCTGCGAATTGGATCGTATTTCACCACCGCTCGCTCTGTAACAATCGTGTCACGAAATCGTAGTCGCAGGGCTCGCTACGACAACCCTCCCCACCACCACCACCGCCATGCCAAAGTGCTTGATGCGAGCACTCCTGGCGACTGGCGATACGCGATGGAGGCGCAATCCCGCAGGGCCTCCCTCCAGTCACAGATCGGAAGGCACTCAAAGAAGAACTGACGTGTAGAACTATTTTATTTGAGGTTCCAAAAAGCAGGATATGTGCAACGAGGCTAGCTAGAAATAGCTGGCCCCCAGTCTGTGCTGGATCTACCGCTTCTGGTGGTTAATGTAGCGCAGCGAGATCAGTGCCAGCACGCGGAACAGCACGATGAAGCCGATGAGCACGAAGAAGTAGGGCGTGATCGTGTCGTGCTTCATGCCGAAGTACTCCTCCGTGTACTCCTTGATGGTGATGTGGCCCACGGTCACCGGCGCGTCCGCCATCGGCTGGCAGCCCAGCTTCGAGCCCACGTTCGTGTACGCCTGCGAGGCCTCATCCCACGTCGGCAGGTCGTCGCAGTCCGAGAAGATCAGCGCCACCAGGATCGACACCGGGAACCGCAGCGGCGAGATCTTGTACAGCCATATGTAGCCCGACGGGATCGCGTAGGCCGGCGGACTGAAGCCCATGAACGTCATGAAGACGGCGTTGAACAGCAGGCCGATGATGGCCGCCACCTCCTCCGACGGCATCGCGTACGAGAACATTTGGCCCATGTACACCTGCATGAGCACGCTGAGCGAGATGGCCAGCCAGAAGATGAAGGCCACGCCCACGTCCGTGAAGCCCACCATGGGGTAGAACACCAGCGTGAAGAGCGCGCCCAGCACGAAGCAGTACGGCAGCTCGGCCAGCGTCGAGCCCAGGAAGTACCAGAACGCATTATACGTCTGGCTCGC